AATTGAACATATGATGAAACCTAGAGGCATATGATTGCTCTAATGAAGAGATTTAAAGTTGGTTAAAGGTGTTAGACATCGCTTAACACCTGAGACCAGATATTGTATATCAGACACGTCCTTCGTGACGTTGGTTAAAGGTGTTAGAGGTTCGAAAACTACGTCTCAAGTAGAATGCCTAACGCTTGATACTAACGATGGTTAAAAGTGTTGGGAGTTCGAAAAACTACGTAAAGTAGAATGTGCTGATGCCTGAGATCAGATATTGCATATCAGACGCGTCTTTGTGACATGGTTAAGGTATTAACGGTAGGAAGACCTCATCTCTAACGCCTGAGACACAGATCTGTATTGCATATCAGACTGCCAGATCGGTCGGTATTGCATATCAGCGGTATTCTTTGTGACGATAATTAGAGGTATTAATGTTCGAATGACTCCGCCTCCAGTAGAACGCATAACATACTTCATGTCAGATTTGTGGCATGTCCTTTGTAATAATGGTTAAAGGTATTAATGTTCAAAAGAATGCCTCTAATAACTGTTTAACGCCTAAGACCAGATCTGCATTGCATATCAGGCGCGTTGTGACGATGGTTAAAGGTGTTAATTTACTTCCCAAGTAGAGCGTTTAATCCCTGAGACCAGATCTGTATTGCATATCAGACTACAGCCTAATAATACCTGATTATTAGATCGATCAATTTCATTACATTTTAAATAAGCATCAACTAATATGTTTCTATTTATGTTTTTAGAGACAAGGAAAAGATGCCCTCATTGCTTGGTGGGAAATCTCTAAAGTTTATCAAGAAAAAATTGTGGACTTCTTTTTACTTTTTGCTAACGGAATCACTGAGTACAGTACCCCCAAAAAGTAACGTCCGATTCAAAATTAAACATAAAAATTTTAACACTTTTCTGATTTATTTTATTTTCAACAATTTATACACAAATAAAAACTTATATTTAATTGACTTCCATTTGACTCAAATACTGCTTCAATTCTTCTTGGCATTGAGGAAATAACATCTTCAAAAACAGAAGGATCAAGTT